CCTTAAACAGATGAGAAGGCAAATGAGAGGTGTGTTTAAATCCTAAACATTAAGCCTTCTTTCCCAACCCTTCTTTTCCCACCGATGTGGGACAAAAGATTTGCCAAATTCAACAGCCAGGAATTTCACCAGACAACTTGTTTCCCTTAAGAGTCAATACACCAAGATTCTTAAGATTTCCAATGGCCACAGGAAGAGAACCAATAAACTGATTATGAGACAAGTCCAAATACAATGTCAAGGAAGAAAGGCCAAAAATTTCCTGAGGTATTGAGCTATTGAGGTTATTTTCAGAGAGATTTAATGCCTGCAAATTTTGGCACTGACCCAAACTAATAGGGGTACCACCATATAGTTTATTGTGATTAAGGTCAAGCTTGGTTAACAGACTTAGATTTCCAAGGGCTGATGGGATAGTCCCCCTGAATCTGTTATGTGATAAATCCAAAACTTGCAGCTTTTCAAATCTCCCAATAACAGATGGAATGGTACCAATCAATTGGTTTATTTGACATTCTAATAGTTGTCAAATTGGTAAATCTTTCCAACCAGCTGGGAATAGGTCCAGATAGATGATTGTTGCTCAAAAGAAATATCCTGTGAGCTTAGTTGAGAGATTTTTCATTGATTCAGGAATCACCCCTCCAAAGTTATTATCATCCAAACCTAATTCTTCAAGATTAGTGGCATTTGTTAAGGACGAGATGAAGCTTAGGTCATCATATCCTCCACTTCCCAGGAGGTTGCTGGAGATGCTAAAATGACTAAGCTTATACAATTTCTCCAAATTAGGAACTTGACCTGTAAGGCTGTTGCTATCAACGAAAAGATACTCAAGGTTTGACGAATTTGACAATGAAATAGGAAGTGGTCCTTAGAAAGAATTTTCAGATATGGCTATGTAGTACAAATTAGGAAGAGTGGTTCCCAAGTATGGTGGAAGAGTCCGTTTGAATTTGTTCAGTGAGACAAATATAGTAGTCAAGGAAGAGAGGTTAAAAATTCCAGGAGGAAACTCACCAGACAAGCTGTTATCGTTGAAGCCAATATATTCTAGCTTCATCAGGTTTCCTATCTCATTGGGTAAGTGTCCACTGAGATAGTTAGACGAAAAACCAAGAAACAGCAAAGATGATAAGTTCCCAAAAGAACGTTGAATGCTGCCTGTCAGACTGTTTCTTGGAGCTTGTATGAGCTGGAGTTTCGAAAAAGAGCCAAATTCAGCAGGAGGAATCCTTCCTATGAGGTTGTTCCAAGAAAGACGAATCTCGACAAGGTTGGAGCAAGCTGATAGATTTGAAGGGATTTCACCATCTAGTGAATTGTTCCTAAGGCATAACATTTTCAAATTTTGTAAACGGCTTAGCTCTGGAGGTATTCCACCAGTAAAGCTATTGTTGTCGAGAAGCAACTCATTCAGAAAACTCAAATTTCCTATATGGGGTGATATTGGACCCTTAAGTTTTTGATGCTGCAGCTTTAAAGATGTAACGTATCCACTGCTGCTGTAGATCACACCTTGCCACTTATAGAAGGGAACGGTTTCATTCCATGATCTCAAGACTTCAAAGGGATCATGTGTTATGGTCTGTTTGAATGCAAGCAGTGATAGTCTGTCTGTTTCATTGTCATGATTTGCAGCAATCACTACATCCAGAAAGCCAAAAATGAGGAAAAATGGGAAAATGTATTTGGCACAAAGACAGAAAACTGACTTCATCTTTGCGACGTCTTAGATAAATGGTGTAGGAATTTGTTATTAGGACCTTATTATAGTGTGACTAGAGCTGGAATACCAAATTGACATGCTGACTGACCATTGATATGTAGGAAAACAAAGTAAATTCCTACATATCTGGTAGCAATTAATGTTAAAAAATTTGCCAGTATCTTGACCTGAGAACCACTGTAAGATGATTTGAAGAAATTATCCATCATAGTACTATTTTTAAAGTAGCTGCGCTGATTGGGAACTCAGGTAATAAAGGTCACCCTAATTGTCACAGTCAGTTAATTAGTGTCAAATTTCTAGTCAAAATACAATACAAACTTTGCCACATGTCAATGAAAGTTTGACAAAATCTTGAAAGCTCACTTTCCATCTTTTAAAATATAGATCCTTTACCTGCCGCTTCAATTTTCCAAATTGATCTTTCTTTTTAATTGTCCGCACACATCATTTGATGTTTCAACATTTGTTTCATCAAGCACTGTTCTTAGGCATAATAGTTAATCAAAAAGAAAACACCAAAAATCTTCACCTTAGTTCGGAACAGCACATAATTAAAACCAACAAATATTATTATCTTTATACTTATATCGAAGTGCTCTTAAATTAAGCTGTGAAAATGAGCTCTTACTCATGAATAGAGAGTTCTAGCCAGAATAAAGAGCAAATCATCCATCCTTCCCCTCCAAAAGGACAACTTTAGTAAATAAACAAACCTGATACTTGCATAGAACAAGTTGGTAATTACAATAGCAACTTTCTGTTTTCCTAGTATTTTTCCTTCCTTTCTTAGACGCCTGGAAATACATAGTCACATAGATAGATAGGAAAATTCTGTTAAAGGTACAGCTTCCAGGGACCAGGTTGACTTTTCTTTTAATTCCTCTATCCCTCATGATTTTGCTCTCAATTATCTAGCTCTAATACATGTTATACAGATCTTCCCAAGTAGTGAAGATATTGGAATATGTGAAAACACCAATGATTGAACTGTTCTTAGGAAAACCTTCCCTTGGACACATGATAAAACTTGTATATTTTCAGAGAACTACAATTTTATAATCTTTATACTCCCTCTATGTGACAGTGTTTGAAATTTGTGGTCTTAAACAAGACATTTGTGTGACTATAAAACATCTTATTAAGGGTAAAATCTATATTATATTAAAAGGAGAGTAGTGAAGCATGAGGTTAAGCCAAGTGGCAAGCTAAAAAAAAACCGCTTGACAATTTTTAAGACAACATTAAAAATTTGAATTATAAATGGAAACATAATTAATGGAAGTAATAGTTCAATAAGAATTATTTTTTAATTATGATATAAATCTCTATTAGTAGTGTAATTTAGTTAACATTTTTTTGTATAATTATGGTAGGAACGAATTTTAATTAATTGATCAAGCTTTGTAACTGACCTTATTTTGGTACAATATACATTATTGTAGGTATCTTTAATTTTTATATATAATTCAGTTATGGTAGGTATCCTTTTTTCAGAAAGAATCAACTAAATTTTTATTTTGTATCTTACACATTAATTTTAAGTTGAAATAATAATTCTTTATTTGGTACAAGCTTTGTATCTGATCTTATTTGGGTGCAATACATTACTATAGGTATCTTTTATTAAAATTTTGTGTATAATTCAATTATGGCCGGTATCCTTTTTTGAGAAAGAATTAATTAAATTTTTATTTTGTATATTACACATTAATTTTAAGNAATAAATATTTCTTAAAATAATAGTAAAAATATTGCTGCAACAATTAGAGTTTTTACGATTAATATTTGAATTGAGTATTCCTAGGTTAAGTTTGAAAGTATAAGATGATTTTTGAAAATGTGGTCCAATGGAGAAAATAAAAGAATAAGATATATTTGAATTTGAGATGGGACTTTTTTTTAATATGATAAGAAAAATCATATTTAAGAATATGAGCAATAGAGTCAAAGTTACTATTGAAATAAGTTTTATTTATTATTTATATTATATTAAAATAAATGTGATAAAAGTGGATATTAAGTATTGAATATACAATAGCAAAATAAGAAACAAACAGAGAAAAAATCAAAATTTCTATCATAAAAAACAAAAAGGATAAAACTTATTTAAATTTGATATAAAAAAGTTTTTTTAAGTATGATAAAAAAGGTCATGATGTGGATAAGGCCACATAACTGAAGTTTAACATATTAAAACAATTAAAAAATATCAAAATATTAATAAATTAGAGATAATGTGAGGTTATTTATACTAAGAATTAGTTTAAATAAATATATAATGCTTAAAAATATTATTAATGAATTTAAACTGTTTAAGAATTTTGAGTATTAATTTTAAATAAAATAAATATTTCTTTCAATATTAAAAAATCATACATCGATTTATATAATAATATTAAAGGATATAAATAGATTATGATATTAAATAAAGAGGCATGTTAATGAAAGCCACATAAGAAAATAAAATACTACATATTAGGTAACTTAATAGCAATAATCAAAAATTTAAAAATATTTAATATTAGAAATAGAAGGGAAAGACGATTTGAACTTGAGATTTAGATTAAAATTATGGTGAAAACGCTCAAACTATGGATAGGACTACAAAACTAAAATTTTACTAGATAAAAAACTAACAAATTAAAACTAAGGAAATACAAAATAAATATCTCATGTGGGTAATTTTATGAACGAAAATTAAAGTCTAATTTGTATCATAACGTTAAAAGAGAAAGAAAATTTAATTACACGTGATACAAAAAACAATTATAAGAAAATTTAATAGATTCAAAATATAACAAGAAAAAATTATCTATTAATATTTTAAACTAATTCAAAGTTATAACTTAAAATAAAATGTGATATTATATATTTTGTTTATTGGTAAAATATTAATGTAAAAAACTAATTAAAAATTCATCGTAGGGAAGAGGATGTATAAAGAGGAAAATAGAGCTAGTGTGAGAATATTTATACTTTGAATTAATTAAGTATAAGGAAATTAAATAATTAAATAATACTCAAAAATATAATTGAAAGATTTAAATGAAAAAAGAGTTCCAAGTAATTAAGAGGATAAAAGAACAAAAATAAATTAGCTTTTAGGAATAAAAAAATTTATATTTATATATGTTTATCAAAAGGGTAATAAGCAAGATATCAAGTCAATTGGTAAGCTATATCTAATACCCACAGTGAAGAATTAGTAGTAGCTAAAGAAACCTTGAAAACATTTTTCATTAATGTCTCACCTTGTTTCTTGTCCTTTAGAGTTGCAAGATACTCCTTGCAGTTTCTCTTTTAGTGCCATTTCTTCTTACAGTGAAAACATTCAGCATCATATACTAACTGCAAGATCAAATCTTCAGAAAGCTCTTTACCAAGCTTGTACCCCAACTTCTGATGTTCTTCGGTAAGAACAATCATATGATTGACAAGGGGTCCAACTGGAGAGTTTTCAATGTCCAACTGTGTATCAACCATCTTCTTAAGTTATTTAATGATTGCAGTTGGATCCATACTCTGATGTTTCCTCTGGAGTTTAGAACTCATAGAAGCGAGAATGATGTGTTTAATAGCAAGACATTCTTCCAAGTGTTTCTGATAAACCTTGGTGCCTTGAACATCATTCTCTGGTGGGATTATCTTTGTAGGCTTATCGATCACATGAATGAGCTTTTCATGCATGTGAACAATTCTCAAATTTCTATACCAGTCACCAAAATTTGGTCCTACCAACTTGTTGGTCTCAAGTATTTCACGCAGTGATATAATGGACATATTGAGAAATCTAAAATATAGAAAAGAAAAGGCAATAATATAAGAACATATTTGCATATATCATAAAGACATGGACTTTTATCTAAATGATATTTCCACTAATTATTTTAAACTATTTACCCTCATTATAGTTTACGAAATCTTTATTTCTGTTAGTGGAGTAAAGGAATCCTTTAACAATATGTATGAGCCCATTCGAAGTCAAGTCGTTTTTCACATATATTTTAAAGGTAGGTACTCTTACCAATTGTATCCCCATACAATTTTCTTAAATAGCTCTATGTCAAATAGTCCCCTGGTAGTCAGGTCGATCCTATTGGCATAGTTGAGTCCAACCATCATGATAACAAAGAACTTATTAGATTTTATACTCCCCCGGGTAGTCCAAGCGTCTAGTATAAAATTGAATAATTCTTTCAATCCATACATCTAATGCAATAAATAATTTTAACATATTCTCGGACTATAAGTCTCCTGGTAGTCAGACCGCTCCTTATAAACAAGAAATAAGTAAAATTATTTACTTTGATGGATAGCTCTATAATAAAATATCTAATATTTTATTATTTAAGAACTCAAATTTTAGTAAGAGGGAATTGTTACTAAAACAATTTTTAATAACATGAAGATAAAATCTTTTATAGCATGTGAATTAAGTTCAAGTTGTCTACATGCTTAGTCCTAAAATAATTTACATCACATGTGATAAATAATTCAAAATTATGTAATGAACAAGCATGTGACATAAAGACGAAATTCAACATTCTTCTAACATGTTTATCTTATATACCACATATATTAAATAAAAATAACTCATGCCAGAATATTATTATTAATTAACATCTCATGAACTAATAACAATTAAAAATAACAATAGAATCATGTAACCTATTGTAGATTCCCGTCGTATCTAATACATAAATTTCAAATTCAAGTTACGAACTATCTCAATAGTTTAACTTATATGTATATATATTTTATTCACAATAAAATTATATCAATCCATATGCAATCAAACAATTTGACTATTGCACAAGACACATGTATTATGGTTTGAACTCTTCAAATATAATCTTAAAATATTTCGTAAATAAATTTTAGACACAATAAACCACGACTCTGATACCATTGAAGGATTGCGTATAAGTGTTCGTAACACGCAGGGGAAGACAATAACAATCCTAGGCAGATTTTTTCGTGTTTAAAATTTATCTACATGTCAAAGATCGGATCTAAGACGTACCTAGTGAAGAGAGTCTCGTTTCAAATTTTCTTCGATAGTACGAAGACTCTATGCGTATCCACACCGAGACCGATCCTTGCTATTAACTCTTTGATCAACGAAACCCGCGAACAAATTGAACGAAGAATATTGTGTTGAAATTTTTCTCAAAAATCTCAACTCAAAGGTAGAAGAACAAGAAATACTTTTCTTGCAATTGTATTTTCTCTCTTGACTTTGTAATGTATTCTCACTTTCACAAAGTTTTTCTTCTCAAGAATTAATTATTGTAAATTTTCTCCATCACCCTTTATATAGCATCACCTACAAACCCTTTTCCTATTTGGTTGAGGCAATGATTTACTTAGGATAAAAGTTTATTCCAAAAATAACTTTTTGGGATTTTTTTAAACAAAAAATCGGTAACCCATTCTTAATGGGTTTGATTTTGCCGAATTCTACTTGAACTTTCCATGTAGTCGGCATTTTTATGGGATTTACAATCCAATTCCAAATTGGTACTTTATTAATATCTCCTATATATAGATATCAATTAGTATATCATATATATATTTCAACCAAGAGAAATAATTTTCTTTTCTATTTCAAATAGAAATTTCAATTCGTTCACAATATTAATTAATATATGTGATAGCAAAGAATATAATAATATTTTATTTGAACTAATAACTAAATTATTTGACTGCTTAAATTCTTTAGTTTAATTAACAAATAATAAAGTAATTAATCCTTTAGCAAAGATCAGAACACTCGTTAGTGTGCGACTCCATAGGTTCAATACTAAACCGGTAGTAAATTGACCACATCAATATACTAATCAAGGGTGGCGTCTAGCAACACTCCTTAACGACCAGATAGCATGAAGTATACAATTTACTCTCAAGAAC